AAATTCATTCAACATAAATTCTTGTATTTTTTTGTATAAAAACAACGAATCAACGTACATTTGTCTTTAAAAACATGCTACGTTGGCTTCCATCCAAATTGGATGATTCAATAGTTTTACTGAAACTGTCTGACCAGTATAATTTAGATTTTATATGATCAATTGCTATTCCGCTCACAAAGTTTACATCCAAGGAACCAATAATTTTCATGTCGGCACCCATCATGTCCGTTCGACATATTTTGCTAAATGGCACATCCATTTTCCATATTATTTGAGCCCAGAATAGCCATCTATAACATCAAAAGCGATTTTGAATTCTGTTCTTAAACATACTCTAGCGACGATATTATTAATGTCAAATTGATAAGCTTATTAGATAAAAAAACAATAAGAAAATTACAAGTAGAATAAAAAAGAGGTACCTATTAATTGAGTCAACTACAATAGACCCTACTTTTGCCATATCTTCTATCTCGACCAGCGTCGCACATTTTTCTTTCTCCAAATTGCATACCTTCAATTGATTAATTAAATCAATATTTAAATCACGGCATTTCCCTGATTTAATATTAATAAAAATATACCTTAATTGTATTCAAACGGCCATTATCACTGACGTAAACATTATCAGTAATCCAATCGACCGCAAGTGACTGTGGATGCTCGACAGTCATAATTGTGGTCATTTTCTTTGTTTTAAGGTTGAGTTTTTTAATAGTACCGAATTCCCCTGCAATTGTTCTTTTGATATTTAATTGTATAATATAATCTTTTTGAAAGATTTTTCCAATTTTTTGGAGAAAGTTTTTTGGATTTTGTACTCTATAGAAATAATCATCAGAGAGAGAGGAGAGAGAGAGAGAGAGAGAGAGAGAGAGAGAGAGAGAGAGAGAGATCCATACACATATCCACTGATATCTAATCTCCAGCCTGGAGGGATCCATATATAGTATATATCCAAATAACGAAATTTTTATTAAAGAAGTGTTCTTGGCAAAGATACTCTCGGTAGGTTGCCACTTCCTTCCGAGAGGAGACTTCCTTCCGAAAGCGTATAAAAATATTTTAATTCTACCAAGAATCGAACTCGGGATCTCTAGCATAGCAAATCAGTGCGCTTTGCCAAGCTTGCTCTCTTATTCAATCTTATAAATTAAGTTATTTATTATGTTTAAGGAGCATCGAGTGGCTTACCGCTCAGTGCGATTGACTCGCGATCTGTAGATGCGAGTTCGATTCCACATACGCTCGCGTTAAGAAGTCAAAAATGATTCCATCTGGTGATTATGAGATCTTTGATCACCAGCGCCGTTCGGATTCGGCGTTAAATTGTAGATCCCATATGACTATGTACAATCAGCGTGCGCACAAGTATATGAGAAAAGTCAACTACGTTCGAGCAATAGGACTAAGAAATAAGATTGAAACGAAGAGACTAACCGTTACTCCAGTAAATAGAGTCGTGAACAGCGTTCACGTCGAGTCCATTTACACTCAATCCCGATAATGAATGGATCTTATCAATTGAGTGTAAATTAGATGAGATCTTCCTAATATCATTATCAGTTACGGTGATGAATTCCATTGCCGGCCCTAATTATCAATAATATTAATTGCTTTAAATACTTAAGCTTGCAAATATTTAATTGAAACCACTTACCGATAGCTTTGCAAGAAACTTTGTTCCTAAGGTAATATCCCTCTTGACAAGAACACTCGAAAGAACCTACTGTATTTCGACAAAATTGCGAGCAAACGTCGTTTTCGCATTCGTTTATGTCCTCGCAAGAAGTCGCATCAGCAGCTAAACGATATCCATATGGACAACCGCAAACATCACCTTTTGGTGTCTTGTAACATAGGCCTTTACAAAAATTGTTCACCATACATGCAATCTCTACACAAAAAAATATGACGTAATCTGTGAATATCGTATATTAACACATATAAGATAATTAAGATATTTAAGAATTTTCTTAGATTTTCTGAAATTCTGCAATTCTCTGTCTCTTTTAATTCATC